CATATTTCGTAAGGTTTTATAAGAAGTTTTGTTGTCAAATTTCATTTGAGTGTAATGCATCATGATTGGTGCTTTTTAAGCTATGAACCACTCTTAGAAAAAATGAAACATAAGTCATAGAATTTTGATGAAGTTTGTAACTTATATGAACCAAAATTCTTTATGTGAAATATAGTTTCATCAATCACATTACACCTTCACAATTTCTGATGTTCAATACAATTTTTCGTGAATAGGCCATACACATGCCTTGTTATTCATAAGTTCTCTAGAGAATTTGTCACAATTCTCATAAGAGCGACCCCACTCCATACTTATATAGGTTGATTCCATCAAGTATATACTGTAGTATAATACACTACCATAAAGGATATGAAATTCATTAAGAGTTTAATTCAACCTCCTTACATTGCAATTTTATACTATTCAAACACCATAGGAGGGACAATAATTTTAATAGTGCATCAATTTATTAATAAATAACTTGTTATTACCTGTATAAATCTAAGTCATGGATCTACAATTACATAGGTTGGGTTACCATTATTTGTTGATTTTCTCATTTGGCTTAAATCCCGTTCCCCTCAATGTAGCATTAATTAATTTTCTTCTCAAGGGTTTAGTCAGAGGATTGGCCAAATTCAACTCTGACTTCACATAATTAATGGATATAATTTCATATCTAAGCAGCTACTTTACTACATCATGTCTCAAATGAATGAATGTGTCTATGTTTACCATTGAAAGTTTTATTCTTTGCAATGGCTATTGGCGCTTGGCAATCACAATGCATAAACATAAAAGGTGTTGGTTTCATTCCCAACGGAATATCTGCCAAGAAGTTTCTCAACCACCTAGCCTTATTGCTAACCAACTCTAAAACTACAAATTCTGACTCTATTGTAAATTTAACAATTTTTGTTTGTTTGACTGATTTCTAAGTTATAGCACCCCTACTGAGGGTGAATACATAACCATTTGTGGATTTCATCTCATTTGAATCTAAGATTCAGTTAGTATCATTATATCCTTCTAATACAATGAAAAATCTATTATATAAAATACCATAGTTTATGGTACCTTTCAAATATTTCATCACCCTGCTCAACGTATTTCAATGATCTTTATTAGGACTTTTTGCATATTTGTTTAATCTACACACAAATATAAACTATGTCTAGTTGAGTGTAATTTATCAAATGCATCAGACTCTTAATAATTTGTGCATATTCTTACTGAGCTACACTATCACTTCTATTTTTCTTTAATTGGATATTACTATCATAAAGAGTACTCACAAGTGTGACATCCAAATGTCTAAACTTTTTAAGTAACCTCTCAACATAATACTCTTGTGTTAACATTAAGCCAGTATTACATCTTATGATTTTAATACCCAAAATAACTTTAGCTTCTCTCATATCTTTCATAGTAAATTTAGAAGCCAAAAAACATTTTGTTTTATTGACCACATCAATGCATGTACCAAAAATAAGCATATTATCAACATATAAACTAATAATCACACGTTCACTATCAACAGTTTTTGTGTACACACATTTATCAACATTAACAGTGAAAAATCTATTACTAGCAATAACTTGATCAAATTTCTTATGCCATTATTTTGGTACTTGTTTCAAGCCATATAATGATTTAATCAATTTACAAACTTTGTTTTATTGACCAGGAAAACACATCCCTCGAGTTGTGCCATATAAATTTTTTATTCTAAATCACCATTTAAAAAGCAGTTTTTACATTTATTTGATGAACAACAAGTTTGTAAATTGAAGCTAACGCAAATAAAATATGAATTGATGCAATTCTTATTACTAGAGCAAAAGTATCAAAATAGTCAATATATTAATTTTGAATAAAACCATTTGCAACTAATCTAGCTTTGTATTTATCAATGAAACCATCAGGATTAAATTTATTTTAAAAATCCTGCAACCAATTGGTTTGGCTCTAAGTGGTAAATCAATAAATTCCCAAGTTTGATTTTGTAAAATCGAATCAATTTCATTTTGTATGATTTCTTTCTAAAATGAACTTTCTTTAGAAGAAATTGAATCAGTATAGGTTAAAGGTTTATTATCTACAAGATAAGAATAAAAATCATTATAAAATTTTTTTTCTTTCTTTGGTCTTTTATTCCTTTTCAAATCATCATTTTGTTTGTCAAAATCATTTTTATTAAAGAGTGCATGAGCAATTGTATAAGTCCTTAAAGCAAAAATATGTTCAAAAAATTCAGCATTTTTTGTTTCAACAATTGTATTATAATCAAGAACATCACTTTTTAATACAAGAATCTATATGCAGCACTATGTTCAGCATAACCAATAAACATACAATCAGATATCTTAGAATCAATTTTTCTCTTCTTAAATTCAGGAAGTATTATCTTAGCTAGACACTTCCACACTTTCAAATATTTTAAATTAGGAGAATAATCTTTCCATAATTCATAAGGTGTCTTATCAATTTTCTTATAAGGTATTCTATATTGATTATGACATGCAGATAATAAAGCTTCACCTCATAAATTTTCATGTACATTAAAACTAACAAGCATAGAGTTCATCATATTTTTTAATGTTCTATTTTTTTTTCAGCTATATCATTTAATTTAAGAGAATATGGAGAAATAATTTCATGAATTATTCCCTTTTTGTCACAAATATCATTAGTCGGTATATATTTACTCCCTCTATCTGATCTAACTCTTTTTGTCTTTTCATTTAGTAAATTTTTTGCCTCATCTTTATATTTAACAAACATGTTAAAAACTTCATCTTTATGCCTAAGTAAATAAATTTTAGTAAATCTAGAATAATCATCAATAAATGTAACATAGCATTGCTTGCCACCTTTAGTCATAGTTTATTTTAGATTTCCTAAGTCAGTATGTATTAAATTTAATAATTCAGATTCTCTATTTACTGAAACACAAGTTTTCTTAGTTGATTTCATTTCAGCACATATCTCACACTTATTAAATCATCCATTTTTAATACTAGAAATTAAACCAAGTGATTGCATTTTTTAAATGTAGGAAATGCTAACATGTTTTAGTCTACCGTGCAATAAATTAATAGAGTTAATCATGTAAGCGGAAGAATTAGCATTTTCATTCAGAACATTATAAATGTTAAGTACAAAGAGTCTCTGATTACAATAACCCTTACCCACAAACACATTATTTTTTATCATTATGATCTTGTCAAATTCGAATGACACTTTCACCCTAACCTTGCCTAATGAGGACACAAATACCAGGTTTGCCCTTATATTAGGAACATGAAGAACATCATTTAAAGCTAGGGTCTTACCAAATGTCGGCTTGAGAAGGACTTTTCCTTTACCAAAAACTTGAACAGTTCGAGAATCACCAAGGTCTATTATCTCTTTTCCTTCCTTTATTGGAATATAGGAGGTAAAGGTACTTTTGTTTGCACAAATATGCTTGGTAGCACCTGAGTCCACCACCCATTCCTTCACACTAGCCACCACATTATCCTGTGAAATGACTGCAGCAATTACATCATCAAATTCATCTGCTTTGACCAAGTTGACTCTTGGATTAACAGGTTTGTCATTTCCTTTTGCTCTTTTCCTGTATTTTGTTGCATGATGCCTTAGCTTTCCACAAACAAAACAACTACCATTCTTTTTGAAGGTGGGATGAGGAGTTTTGGGTTTGCGATCAGGTTTGTAAGGGTACCTTTATTGACGCTGAGTTATACCTTGTACCATATTGGCTTTAGTTGCAACTTTCTTAGCTTTGGAGGTCTTAATCTCCCTTCGAGTTGTGTCTTCAATGATGATGTGTATAATCAAATCTACAAGTGACAACTGCTTTTACTTGTGCTTCAGTTGTTGCTTGTATCCATTCCAAAATTCTGGCAACTTCTTAATCAGCAACCCAACAACGACCTCTTCTTGCAAGTTAATTTTTTCAACCTTCAAATCATCCACTAGCTTGTGGTATTCATTGATCTGACTCTTGATGTCTTTGTCATTTGTCATCTTTCAGTGACAGAAGTTGCCCATCACGAACTTCTGTTTCCCAACATCTTCAGTAGTGTATTTGGCTATCATTGACTCCCATATTTGCTTTTCTTCTTTATAAAGATTGTATACATCAAACAACTCATTAGAAAGTGTGTTAATGATTGTATGCCTGCATACCTTATTTACGTGCATCCATAGTTCTAGCATCTTGACATCATTTGGATTGGAATTAATTAGTGCAAAAGCCACCTCATGAACACCAAGGATTGAAAAAATCTTTTCTTGCCACCTTTTGAAGTTTTTACCATCAAGATTTTTATTTTGAAAATATCTGAAAACGGTTTGGCATATGAAATCGAATTATAGCCAATCTTGTGTATATTCAAGCGTAGGGAGAGAAATCTAAAATTTCTCTAAGTCTGGCCCAATCTTGTGTGCGCATGAGCTCACTCCATTTTCCTTACTTGTAACAAGTTTATAATGGGTTTTTATATATAAGGCATTCACCTTTTATGTATCTTAACAATATGATATATTTAAATCTTATGAAATACACTATTTTTCAACATCTATAACAGAACCTTGATTTTTCTTTTTCTTTCTTCCTTTTGAATGGCTATTGCAGAACTTAGCTTTAACATGTTAGGCGTTTTTTGCTGCCTTATTTGGATGCTTAGCTACTTCTACAAAGACTATCCTTGCAGAATATCTTTGCTGCATGGATACAAGTTTGACTGGTAATGATGTTATCCTTGCAGAATCTTTTCTTGCATAGAAAAGATAGAGAAAAATAGTGTATTTAAAGAAGAAGCCAGGGAGCAAATTGGAGAACGCCTTATCCCTTCAAACTCCAACACGCGATGGGCAGGGGATTTCTGTTCCATAGGAATACTAGCTAGGCATCTATAATGAAGCAGAAATTAATTATGCTTTAATTGTTCATTATAACTGAAAAAGAAAAGTAACGACAGAAAAACTTGCTAGGCATCGAGTAGTTTTGCCACAAATTCATCAATGTTCTTATCTGAACTGCCACCTTCATCAGTTGCGTCTCTAGCCAAATTCTTCCACTTGTTTGCATTTTCCTTAACCTCTTTGCCCCTTTCTCCTTCCATTAGTTCCTTTATGCACTGTTGTATAATCTCTCCTCTCACAATACCTTTCTCATCATGGAAGGCTCTAATTCCAATTCCCCAAATCTCTTCAACGTGCTTTGCATTTGTGGCTTGGTCAGCCCATTGCGGCATTCCCAGCATTGGAACCCCTAAACACAATGCTTCAAGAACAGAATTATAGCCACAATGAGTAAGAAAGCATCCCACCGAGTCATGTGCCAGCACGTCCAACTGAGGGCACCATGCCACCATCAAACCCTTCTCCCCAGTCTCCTCTTTGAAATTATTTGGCAGCTTGGTCTCTTCTGATTCCCTCACTACCCACAAGAAGTAGCAATTGCTTACTTTCAAACCCCAAGCTATCTCTGCCATTTCTTCGACTCCTAGTTCTGCCAAGCTCCCAAATGAGACATAGACCACTGAACCATTTGGCTTGCCATTTAGCCAATTCATGCAAGTGTCAGTGTTTGGGTTGAAGAGATTCATGCCATAGTCATTGTTACCTTCTAGCCTTCTGTCCAAGTGCATGGATGGAATGGTTGGACCTACTGTCCCTAGCTTCCAGATTTCTGACATCCAATCTACAACCTGAAAAAAAAAAAGACAACGCAATAATTTCTTTCCATCTGTCATGTCCGCAAATTAAGAAACATTAAAAAAAAGTCAACCAGGCTGTAAGAAGATAAGGGTACCTCTTTCTCCAATTCGTAAAATGTGTTTACCAGAACCCAATCAGCTGCATCAACATTGGAGAATTGATTCACGATCACATCAAACCAGGCCGGGTATGATCCATAAAGATACACTACAGATGGCAGCTCGGAAACTTTATATAGAGGTAATCCAGGAAGGGAAACATTAGGTCCTTCAAGTGGCAGCTTAAGAAGCCCCTCGCTCACATGATAATTTATGCTGTTAACAGCACAAGACTGCGTGAAAAACACTGCTCCGAGTAACCCAAACTGCCTTGCAACATCAAGTGCCCAAGGCAGAAATGAATCATAGATAATGGCATCAAGTGGAAAATCAGTATCACCAAGTTTCTTGATTAAACTTGCCAGACTTTGAGAGCCTACTGACCGGAAAGTTGACAGGTAAGCATCAGGGCTCCCGGCCTGAGCAAATCCACCTTCGTCGAAGCCATCAGAGATTGACTGGAGATCAATAGAGCTGGTTGGGTCAGAAAGAATGGAGTTGGAGAGGAAGATGGTGGTTACCATTGTGGCTTTGACGCCCTTGGAGACTAAGCGTTTGGCGAACTGAAGCATAGGGTTCATGTGGCCTTGGCCTGGATACGGAAGGATAAGAACATGAGCTTTGTTGGCCTTGTTTTCCTCCGCCATCGTTTGGACTTTCAGGACGTTCTTCACTTTGCTCGCCTTGTTTAGCCCACTTTTAATATATATATATATATATATATATATATATTGTGTAAATATTTCTAAGCAGATTTCCTTTCCTTTTTTTCTTGATAAGAGCATATCTCCTCCACAATTTCTACATGGAAAGTGTTTTATTTTTCCCTTTTTTGTGTTATTTTATATTTCTCTTCCTTGTGTTCTACAATATTTTTTCTGAATTATGCCTCATCTTGCTCTTTTTTGGCTATCCATGGCAAGTTGTACTGAAGAATGGTTTATCATGTTATTGGTTTTTGTAATCTATTTGTCTCCAACATAAGCCTAATAAGTTTTAGCCATATTTGATGATACTACCTTGCCCGGTAATTTCATTTGAAATAAGATGGAGCCCCATGAGAGTATAATATAATAAAATAAGAATGAACCCAAATTAGAGCAAAATGGAAAGTGTGACTTTAAAAAATTGAAATCGAACTCAACCATCAAGAAATTTTACCACTGCAATTTAAATTGAATTGAACCATCCCATGAAATGAAAATGAAAACGTTTTTCTAGTAAGAATTGTCATGATTTTATTTGAATCGACATTACATTAATAACATTTTAAAATAAAAATAACAAAAAATTATTTAAAAAAATGAACTAACAATTGTTACATATAAAATGCTTAAATCTCCTAATCAAAACTTCAAAAATTCAAAACCATATACACATGTGTTTATGTTATGATATTTCATATCAAATAGATAAAAGAAGAATTTTGAGTTAATAAGTGATTGATTTTTTACAATACTTTTTTGTGATAAAGTGATATTAGAGTTGCCTTCAAAGTGACATCAGGTGTCTTAAATAAATCACGAGAGTGAAAGTAATTATTATTATGAATGAGACACGTGAAATTTTATAATTTTAAAAAACTTAAAAAATCAAAGGAATCAATTGATGACATCTTCATAGAATAGAGGATTCAATCGAAGCAATTTAAAGTTAGGAGCATCAAACGGGAAAATAATACAACTTCTGGGTTCGGGTCAAAAAGTTTGAGTTTCTCCAACTTCTCGCTCCTTACTGCCTCGCTTTGCTCTTCCTCAGTAAGCAGTTACCGTTAAAAGCTCACTACTTTTTTTGTTTTTTTGAAATCTATGATGATATTTATAGTTTCTTGATTCTCTGTTTCGAGCAATTTAGCGTTTTTGGGTAGTTACTCTTTGGTGGAATCAGGTGAATTGAAGGCATGGGTCGGTCGCGGACAGTCTCTCGCTCCACTGAAGATGATCTCAATCAAAGGTTTCTTTTTAATTTTGTTTAAATTTCAATTCTTGTCTCAATAAATTTTAATTTCAAATTTTCCCCCCTTTTTGGGTTTTTAAATTGTATTTTGATTTCGATTGTTCCAGTAGATCCAAAAGGAAAAGGACTGTGTATGGTGGCGTCGAGAATCTAGAGCTTCCACCTTCGGGTATCGGATAATTTGGGCTCCGTTCAATTGTTTTAGTATTTGCTTGTTGTTAAACAAACGTAATTTTACTTTACTTTTTTAACAATTTTTGGAAATATTAAATAACAGGAAATCAGGCAACAAAAGCAACACTCAAATGGAACCCTAATTGTCCGTAAAGTTGTTTATAAAAAATAAAATGCTACTGGTTTATCTACTCGGTTGCTTTTGCTCGTTTTAGTTTTGAAATCTTACTTTCTGTTTTAGTGGTAGAAGTTATGAACTTATTTACAAGGATGTAAATGTGGCTCTTCTAATCTTGTTCTTCTCCACTGATTCGATTTCTTTCAATAAGGTGTTGGACATGTAGCTAATGAAGCGAAAGGGCCAGCTCTATATCACTGTAATTATTGCAACAAGGATATTTCTGGAATGGTTCGGATTAAATGTGCAGTTTGTCCAGATTTTGACCTTTGTGTGGAGTGTTTTTCTGTTGGAGCTGAGGTTACCCCTCACAAGGGCAATCATCCATACAGGGTTATGGTTAGTTCCCGTCTTTAGAGTTACTTTTTCCATTGTCATTTTAGCAATTGATGGTCATTGCATGATTGCAGATAGTTAGCTCCAATTAAGATTGTTTGCTATCAGTCTTATCTGAAATCTGAAACGTGCTGTTTCGTCTCGTCCTGCTTGGGGAGTATATACAAAATTTAGGATCAGAACAAAGGAATCTTTTTCTTTGAAATATTTCCAGCCTTTCATTTTTTATTTGAGCAAGTTGTTAGCTCTATAATACAGAGAAGTGATGTAATTTGAATAAATGGAGACTTTTTTTTTTGGAAGAAATAGTAAATGAAACTGTGGACATTCATTGATAAATAGATGTTATAAGAACTGTTTATCTGTATTCCTGTTTATTTTGACATAAAATAAAAGCATTAAATGTGTATAATGCATAAATCAACTAGAACTTGCTTTGCAAAACAGATGTTAATCATCAGAAGATGTCTAATCTCCATTGAACATTTTGGCATCTGCTTGGTGGCAGAAGGTTCACTTTAATAAGCTAAATCATCAAAGATTTACAATCATGTGCTTCACGTCATTTGCTTGGTCACAAAGGGTTACCATCGAAGTGCAAGTCTCTGTCCAGGCTTGCTTGTTCAATTGTCAGGAAAAAATAAGCAATGTGAGCATCCTGTTTTAGTAAATTTTAAGTCATTTTAGACTAGAAAGTATAGTCATCTGGTTTTCAGACACAAGTGCAGGGTGGAAGAGATAATGAAGTCTCTCTTTGGCAGATATTGGAGCTGGTTCTTTGTCAACACTTCTGTCTATATACCTCTAGATTGAAGTATGAAGGTGTGCTTGGGCTGTAAATGCATGGAAATGGAAATTAATTTGAGGTTTGATTTTTTTTTAAAAGAGTCCCACACAGGTAAATGAGTATAGCATACTAGAGCACTTGAAAAGAAGTCAAAGAAACATGGTTACAGATTATAAGCGAGTTAAGAACAGATTAGTTTTCTGTTTACTACCAATGGCATTTTCAGCTGAAGTTCAAACCATAGATTTCATATGTGTGTCACAACTGCATCCCCCACCCTCTCTCCTTTTTTGTGTAATGGTGGAAAATTCTTTTATTCACCTTGCCTGAAAATCTCACTTTGGTGGGACATAAATGGGTGATGACCACCTGTAAATTTCTCTACTAATTGTTTCATTAATGCTATCATTTTTTCATCATCTTTCCTTCAGCAAGTCTCAAGATGAATGATTTCAAGCATAGTTTTGTCCCTTTTGCTATTGGTTTGGTAGACATGTTATGAGCATATATTAATCATTTTCTTCCATGCAGGACAATTTGTCTTTCCCTCTTATTTGTCCAGACTGGAATGCAGATGAGGAGATATTACTTCTTGAGGTCTTCCTATACGCTATAATCGCTGCATTTTTGAGGCATAATTTTTTATTGATTGATCAATATATCCGGTAAATGCTGCTTGTATTGCTCCTGATTCTGCATTCCATTGGATTTGATGGTTAGAGGGTGGATGTCTTTATTTCAGGGAATTGAAATGTATGGATTTGGGAATTGGACTGAAGTTGCAGAACATGTTGGAACCAAGAGCAAATCGCAATGTATTGATCACTATAATGCTATATACATGAACTCTCCGTGCTTTCCTCTCCCGGTAAGACTTGTGCCATAATCTTGGCTTTGAAGACATAACCCACATAAGAACATGCAAATGCACAGAAGCACATAAATAAACATGCAATTTCCTAGTAATAACAATGATATTCCATGGTTATTTTCTTAGGACTTGTCTCATGTTATGGGAAAGAGCAGAGAGGAACTCCTTGCTATGGCTAAAGGGAATGGTCAAGTTAGAAAAGGTTAGAAAAAACCTTTTCAAGTAATTCTCCTGTCACTGATGTGTTGTATTGACATGATTTTATGGCTGTTTTCCATCCCACCGTGGCCTTTTTTTTTTTTTCCTTTTTTCTGGGGAATATGGGTAATCTGCAGATTCTCAATATTCTTGTCTGATATCTTTGGTTTCTGAGAGTCCTAGTTTTTACGTGTGCTTTTGTGAAATGAGATTGCTATGTTTATTTCTGCAGAGTTCACTGCACATGGTGAGCATACCCTGAAAGAAGAGTCTCCCGTTGCTGCAAAAGTCAAGTAATCTTCCCTGTGCTGTCCTTTTTTTCCTTCAATTTTACTTTATTTTTGGATATTTATTTACTCTTCTCCTGCTGTGCTTGATCAGATATGACGCACCCAGAAAGGATGATCCAGCTTATCAATCATCATCTAGCTTAACTGGAGGTATGACATTGGCAATTTTGAGACAGTTTTTTTTTTCTCTCTCTCTCTCTTAAGGCATGAATTGGTGGCAATATTGGCTTGTATAAAGTTAATACATTTTCTTTGACATCAGAGGTAGGGTCCCATATAGATTCAAGCAGTGGTAACTCATTTCAAGGTTCTGGTAAAAAGACAAACTTGGCCCAGAGTAAAGATGGCATTAAACTAGAAGGTATACATTCTCTCTCATTTTATTGAGCATCATGACTGTTGCTCGTGGATTTACATTCTGCATGAAGTCATTGACTAGGCCACCTTGAAGGTGCTGATACTTAGTTTATAAGTATTGAGAATGGAGACTTATTCTGAGGCTTTGGACTGTAATGCTCCCAGTCATACTTTATGAGGCAAATGCTAATTAATTACTTTTCTATCTGTAACATGAGTTAGAATGAGTCAGAGTTTGTTTAGTAGAGAGCCCTTTCTTTCCTTTTCCTTTCCTTTTTGATTTTTGGTGATTAGTATGATGTATTATGTTGTTTATCATGTTCCATGGATTTTTTTTCAAGTACTCAATACTATGTTTTTTTTAAACCTTGTTCTTAGAACCTCAAGCAGACAGGAGCATTGGTGAGAAAAAACTTAGGGTTTCCACTGACGAGGAACCTTCTATGACAGAGCTCAGTGGCTATAATTTCAAGAGGCAGGAGTTTGAGATTGAATATGATAATGATGCAGAGCAGTTATTGGCAGATATGGAATTTAAGGATACTGACACCAAGCCCGAGCATGAATTGAAGTTGCGTGTGCTACGTATCTACTCAAAAAGGTATTTTTCTACTTAAAATGTGTATTCATGTTGTAAACAATGTTGACATGGCAAAGGTTGTTGACCAATCAGCATTTTTCAGTACTGTAAGGGATCTAAGACGGAAATGTAGAAAGTGGGTTGTAGGCGTAGTCAATGTGAAAATAATGGAGTCCTTTAAGAAATGATGTCTTTGTTCCTAATTATTATGAATGCTCTTAAGTGCTGATCCTCGAAAAAGTATATGCCACTGTCTGTCGGTGGATTGAAGCAATTTATCTAATCACCTAAACCTCTGGTTTGAAAACCAGCTGAAGCTGCCCTAAGGAGTGTAAAACTCTAGTCCATAGCATGTGAGTTTTCAGCTTCATGCACCAATGCGTTCACTTGATAGAACTCTCCTACAATGTCGTGAGAATTTCAACTTTATTTCAGAATCTTGTTTCTCTACATTAAGTCTTGAATCCAAACAGTTTAGAGCATTCCAAGTACATTCAAGGCTGGTTGGTTTGTGCTTGCTTTCTTTCATTTATTCAATTCTATGTTTATCATTTGAGTTGTACATCTTATGTGTCTGCTTTTACATTTAGTTGTCAGTTGGGTTCTACCATTTTATCTTAACTAGATACTCGTAGGCCCATGGACTGGTACTCAATGTCATGCCATGTTTGCCAAAATGTGTTGAATTGTGTATCGTTACTTTTGTATCATTTTTGGTATTTAGAATTATTCTATGGTGACTTTTTAACAGGCTTGATGAGAGGAAGCGTAGGAAGGACTTTATATTGGAACGAAATTTACTTTACCCTGACCCTTTTGAGAGAAACCTCTCACCCGAGGAGAAGGAAATATATCAGCGTTACAAGGTCTTTATGCGCTTCCACTCAAAGGAAGAGCATGAAGAGTTGCTTAAGAGTGTCATAGAGGAACATCGGATTGTCAAAAGAATACAAGACCTTCAGGTTAAATGCGTGCCTTATGCTGACTTTGTCTGCCTTATTTGCTGCTTTCATGCAAAATATTTTTCAATTGCTCGAGCTCTGTTAAACAATGAACTAGTGTAGACTCCCACAAAATGTAAATTAGGTTTCCATGGAACTATAATTACATTTTTTCTATTCCTGGAGGGTGGTGCCAAATATTAGAACTTAGAAGTCGATATGCCTTCAATTTGGTGCTGGGTTTCATCCTTTAATTAGGCTGTTATATTTCTTCATATTCAAATGGTTCAATTCGATAAGGATTTCCTTCCTTTAGGGCTGAAACATTTTGCTTCAGATACATCTATTGAAGCATCTAAAATTTGGAGCATTTATCTTGACAGACTTTAGCCACATTTTGCACATCTGCATTCATCTATATATGCATCATAAATACTCTGTACTCAGTTAAATTTTTCAGTGCAGGAAGCTCGAGCTGCTGGTTGCCGAACTGCTGCTGAAGCCAATAAATTTATTGAACAAAAGAGGAAAAAGGAAGCTGAAGAAAATGCCCAGAGACTGAGGGAAAGTGTCCAGGCTGGTCCTAGTGGTAAGGTGTTATTGCATGGAAGCCCACAGGGTGTCATGAGGGGGTCCACTAGTTTACAGCCTATCAGTAAAGAAGCTTCAACTGTCATTGGAGGAGCTACCACCCTGGATGATTGGGATATTACTGGATTCATAGGGGCTGATTTATTGTCTGATACTGTAAGGATACCTCCCTCTCTTCTTGTTCTACATCACTTACACTCTCATGATTATCTGATCAGATTGCTGTTATTTTTACAATTCAATTTGCATTCTCCGGGATACTTGATTCAACATTTAAGTCATTGAATAACTGTCAAAACTTAATGGATGCATTTGACACGTAAAGTAGCATCAAGTTTAATTGGAAACCATTTGCAGTCTGTACTCATCTGAATGTCCATTTCAGATTTTCAGTCTCCTATAATGTCCTTTTGTGCAGGAGAAAAAGCTTTGCAGCGAGATCAGAATACTGCCTTCACATTATCTCTCCATGTTGCAAACTTTATCGGTGGAGCTTATGAAGGGCAATATTGGCAAGAAGTCTGATGCTCACAACCTGTTCAAAGTTGAGCCAAGCAAGGTGGATAGAGTCTATGACATGTTGGTGAAAAAGGGGATTGCTCAAGCATGAAAAAAATTCAGCATCTCCAATTTTGTAGATCCACATTGTACAGTTATGATTCGGACAGGTGAAAAAGACAAATCATATTGTTCATTCATAGAACATTTTATCATAAGCAACCACATTTATAGGAAGAGTCAGGCACTTAGTTGGAATATGGTACCAGATTCTTTTGTTTTTTCTTCCTTTTTGGTCCTTCCACTTGAGCATACGTTAAAGTACACATGTCAACATTTTCTCATTAACCAATCATTGATCCATAGCTCTATCTTTCTCACGCAAGACCAAGCATTTTCCAATCAGAAAGTGTAGAGTTCCCTACCGTCTTTAGATGGCAATGCCTCTACCAGCATTAAGGAGACCTGCATTTTTCTATTTATAAAATGTGAACATACTGTTCAGAGTTGAAACACGCGTATTCTCTTAGTGTATATTTAATGCATTTTGTAGATTTTTACGGATACGTACATTCAAAGAGTCAATATAACAAGAACGATGCACGATTATATGAACCAGAATGTCATAGATCATACATCAGTATAAATAAAATGATTCATAGATTTATAAATAATAATTATTTTTGCATAATAAATATTTATTTATAAATATATTTTTTTTTACGTACTAGTGCATATGCGACAATTTATTTCAATAAAATCTTTTTAAGCAAATTTTATCCACTCGTCAAAGACCACTAATATGCCCTTTTGTAGTACTTTTATATCGAACCTAACTTTATCATCATCGTGGTCCTCATCAAAACAACTACTAGAAATGGTGACCACTGACTATTCTCACATGATTTATTCTTCACTAACTAGTTATTTGGGGTGGTAGGTGCATGAAATTTCCCATTCAAACAGCTGAACTGGTTCGTTGGAATAAACAATGATTAGACAGTGATAATGAGAAGGAATCACTTCCATACTCCTAGTGCTATCAAACTTTGCGGCTCTCCTTTCCTCCTCCTTCACAAGCCTGCCTCGTTGAATTGCCCAATGCATGGAACGCTTTATTCCATTACTTAAAAGGGTTATAGGACAAAGGGGAGTTTGAAAAGCAGCAGCAAGGATTTCCAAATCTAAGCCCCATTGAAGGATCCTCCACTAGTTATAAAAAGAACGGTGATCAAAATATATAAATCTATCTTGTCACGCTCGGAATAAGGTAAATTTAATTTAAATATTGTTATATTTTCTGAACCCAAGTTTCAAATATATCGAAGTTATTTTAACATTCGTGATTTCGCATTATTTAATTAAAAAAAAGTATAATATTTATAAAAGTTTCATAAAAATTTAAATGAGTTTTTATTTTATTTATTACATTTAATCAAACTCTTATATTTTTATTTTGAGTTAAATAAATTTTTATAATTAATAATTAATTAATTTTTATGAATTAAAATATTATTTATCAGTTTATATTATGTGATATGTTGACTTGTCATAATGAATAATGACATTACATATTGATATAACATGCTAATATTATCATATAATATTTTTCATCTATCATGTGAACATAACATGATTAATGATAATTAATCAACCATTAATCATAAATGCCTATATAGTCTAAAATAAAAATGTTCCTTGACTTGATTGAACTTAATATAAAAATAACTATTTATTTGCATTTTCTTAAATAGTTTTGAGATTTTTTTAAATTTTATGTTTAAAAAATAATGCATTTGCTTTTCAAAAATTTTATTTGCACACTTTAAAATTTGAATATAAAATTTTCAAATCTAAATTTTAAATTCTAATTTTAACATGTTCAAATCATAAATACATACACTATTTCTATTTATGATTGAGCATTGAAGGAAAATTCTCAAAAACTTATAGTTAAGGTTTCAAGACCATAAATAAAGTGATTAGACTTGATTTTGAGTTATCTAATAACAAATAATACGCATTTAGTTGAATATGAAATTTTCAAATTTAAATATAACGTGCTCGAATTGTTAATACATATAGTATTACTCACTTTGATGCAATTGGAGATGCTCTCAACATCAAATAAAAGAAAAAGGTGATAGGATCATTAAATTTTCTTTGTGGAAATTAGGGATCGTTAATTATGTTTATGTACTTTGGACAACACTTACTTAAATTTTACTTAGAATATTTAGGGGTTTTCATTGTCAAATTCACTGCAAGCCGCGACATGAAAACGCCTCTAATGATAAATAAACCATTGATTAATAATAAGACCCAAAAATCTCCAATGGGAATTAATCCCCACGTGTTAAGAGCTGATTGGTAGGTTTTTGTTTAAGCTCCCCTCCACTTACGCCACTTTGGGGTTTGAAGTGGCGTGTGACTTTGCTAGAGTGCTTCCCCCAATAACTTGTATTTAATTTTTGCCAATAAGAATAGAGTCAATTCTTAAACTTTGCTAAATAATCAACTCTTCATTCATCCAAGAGCCATCATGTATAGTTGAGAATTTACTAGTGAAATAATTTATTGATTATAGCAAACACAATTGGAGAATAAATTAATTAAATGCATCAAACCATAAAATAAATACACTCTAGCATTTCATCTTGACTAATATCAAGTTGGGAATAAATTAATAGATACTTATCAAGGTCATTGTCTGTTTATGGAGTAAAGCATAGAGGGCTAGATAAGGCTTTGCAAATCACGTAATCTCTTAGGTAGAGAGTACTTTTTGCTTTTTGGGTAAGCTTTGAGTGGCCATGTCCTTCTAAAACCACTAAAGACTGCTTAAAGTTTTTAAATGTGACCTAAGTTAATTAGGAGAAGGAATATCCTAACGTAAGTGCATTCGCAATATGGAATTAATTTAATCCACAAGTTCGGTAATCTTTTTTATCAACCTTAATCTCCAACACATTTGAAAATTATCGGATGAGGATACAATTAAATAATATTAAGGAAAAATGTAAGAGCCAAATGCATGTATGATCACATGTTGGAGTCCAAAAATGTTTGTTGCTTTGTCACGTCAAGGTGCAAACGGTAGATAGAGAAGAAGGCCTCCTGAAGCATCTCTTGCTCCCCATCTAACCTTCATCTTTCCTTTGTCCCTCTTTGCCAATTTCAAACCACAGAGAGGTCAACAAAGAATATAAGACTAGTTTCTTTTTCTTCTTTATTGTTTTAATAAATGGGATGTGTTTGTTTTTGTGATAGGAATTTCGTATTAATGAAAGATAAGATGAGTTTTAATTTATAAACAAAAGTGTTTTTCTACTTACGACTAACATGCTTCATGATGTCTTTATTAAATAGATAAAGTCTTGTCATTACGATCACAAATATCAAATATTTTAAAAATAATATTTGTAAATTTGAATTATAATTATAATCAATCAAGGTTTTATGTTTGTATACAATTAATATAACAATTATATTTAGTATAAACAATTAACAAATAAAATTATCATAGAATTGTACCACACTCATATATTATTATAATTATTAAAATACTTAAATTTTGTTTTACATGTGACAATTATTTGAAGAGTTGCTATTTTATGAAATCAAATAGGATTTTATATTATATTATTATCCCTTTTTTTATAAATAAAATCATTCACCCCAAATTTCAAATTAAATATTCACTTTTAATTTAATATAAAAATTAAAAAAATAGTTTGACTTGATAAAGATATTTAACATTGATATATATTACAATTTTTAATATCAAAAAGCGAAAAATATTAAAATTTAATATAAAACATAAAAGAAAAAATTTTTAGCACAATTTAAAAATGAAATTAAAAAAAAAAAAACATTCCTTTTATTCCATTTGAAAATTGCATACCAACTTGTTAAGGTCCACCCAAAGCCGTACTTAAAAGAGATTCCACCCTATCCGTCCATTCTCAATGCAAATATCCCAAACTTTTAGCCTACACTCTGCAGTGCTACCCCATCCGCTAGATCTAATAACAAGAACGATCAAAGGATAATATCTCTCCACGTAATCACTCCCATCATTTGGCCATGTGCCGCAGTTGTAAACGGCACAAACCTTACTTAAAAACCTTATCTTTAAATTTTCAAGGGGAACTGTGCAAAGGCCATTGCCGGCAAAGGGGTTTTGTCGTTACAAAGTTCTTTCTTTTTTTTTTTTTGGCTTTGCAAATTCAGACAAACAAAACAAAAACATGTGGGACACGTGGCGGGTGGGTGGAAGTCCACACTTAGGACTGCTCATTTATCCGTGCTTATCCACTTAAACCAGCTCTTTTTTTAAAATTAAAAAACTTCCCTGTTTGCGTTGTTAGCGAATATGGTCTTGTGGGTCCCATTGATGACGTGGCGGATAAGTCAATCTGACGTCCAGCTGTTGTAGGCCCTCACGCCCCACTTTGTATCTTTTTCTCGTTTCTCCCCGATATTTTGATTTTAATGATTAGAATTTGAAAATAGAAAATAATAATAATAATAATAATAATTATGCGTGTAAATTACACAAATTTGAAGGTAAAAGGATTAATATATTTTATTTGCGATATTTCGATTGTTACTTGTTTGAGTTTTTTAGTATTTTATTATTTTTTGAAATAAATGACTTAATGTTCAATTTTTTGAAAAAAGAATTAACATTTTTAAAAGATTTTAAGTTTGAAGAATCTTTAAAAAGTAAACAAAAAATTATTTCTTTTTATATTACTTAAATTTAATAAATTTTAAACAAATTATATTTTTTACTAGCGTAAAATCTATAACATTCAACATGATTTAATTGTGTAAAGTTTTGGACTTGTAAGTATAAATCTTTTTTCACTTGAAAGTTATATTTTTTAGATTAAAAATACTAGTTAAATTTAATATTTTAATATAAAAATTTAAAATGTAATTACATCATTCAATTTTAAAATATTTTAATAATATGATAAGATTTATTGATTACAAAAATTGTTTCCTTTTAATGTGTTATATAAATTAAATATAATATTGATTGAAATTTAATTAATAAGGAAATAAAATTATAAAGTCTTTTAAATATCAAATTTGTTCTTAAACTATTATTATTTTTACCAATCCAAACATTTGCTTTCTTTTGACTTCAAGTAAAAGTAAAAATTAAGTGACAAATATAACAATAAAAAAAAGGGAAAATCCACTTGCATAAATGACATTTCCACTTTGGTATCAAACATGCCTTGTATTTGTACAGGAAGAATTCAATCTTATCCTTTAACGAGAGTATTGTCGGATCACGATATTTTGACGTTTTAAATTTTATTATCCCATGAGATATCGTGTAATTGTAGTCAAAACGAGAACACATATCTCGAGAGACCAATTTCTTGTTTTGTCAATGAAGCAAGGAGAAAGCGCCACGTAGCCTAACTAGGCCTCTAAAGCCCAATAGTTGCAGGCCACGTGGGATATCCCGCGAATCATTTCCAGCTATTTTCAGACAAGACCCTAACTTTGTGGGTCCCGCCTCCGCATGTTGCCTCGTGGCGAACTAACCAAAGGACAAGAGGATAAGAACTTCAAGTGCACATTTTCCTCTACTCTGCACCTTTGGATCACACTACAATATCATCCAAGGGTCAGTGTTCATCTAAATTATTTAACCCCCATAAAAAAATGAAAAAAATAAATAAATTTCCCAAAAAAATAAGTATATTTTAAGCTTTTTCTCAGTGCAAGCTTTGGCTAGGGAGTGTTGATTTGGCAAAGAGGATTTGAGATCAGCTAGAGCTTCAAGGAAAGCTAATTGCATATTTTTTTCTGTTTAAAGCTCTAAACTTTTTGGGTGAATTCGAATTTTCCTAACTACCCAATAGGGAAAAAGAAATGGAAATTCTTCAAATATTCAACGACAACAACAACTGCTGGTAATTTCTAGAACTGTTCTTGATTTATTTTTTAACTTCCTTTCAACTTTAGTTTTTTCAATAGTTGTTGTTGTTGTTGTTGTTGCAAGTGTGACAATATCTAGTGAAAATTCTTTTGGTTTAAGTATATTTTCTTAGCTGTATAATCTTGAATCTATTCCATTCCTCCTTTTTTCGTTTTTCTTTTTTTATTTATCTAGATATCAACTTATGTCCACCATTTGTTTTTGATTCACTTCTTCTAAGCTTATCTCCCAATTTCATTCTTTCAACTGGTTTCATTCACCATTTTCTTCCTTAAAAGATTGCACCCTTTTTTCCATTTGTTTGCACTTAATCAAAGAGCCAGTCTTTACCCTGAAATTATTTATCTTGTTCTTTAATATTTTTTAGTGATTTAGAGCTTTTTAGTATAAATTCTGTAAAAGGGTGTCTTTTAATTGTGAAAAAACTTTCCCCTTTAATGGGACTTTTTCTGGATGTGGGCATGGTAAAAGCTCGGTTTTGATTAGCTCTAAGCAATGGTATCAAGATCGTATTCGAATCTCTTGGAGCTTGCCTCTGGTGAGGCTCCATCTTTTGGCCGAATGAGCCGGAGGATTCCCCGGATTATGACGGTCCCCGGAATCATTTCCGATATTGATGATGATCCATCGGAGAGTGTGTGCTCTGATCCATCATCATCATCTGTTCAGAGAGACCGAATTATCATGGTAGCTAATCAGCTGCCTATAAGGGCACAGCGGAAATCGGATAGTACTAATAATAGTAGTAGTAGTAGTAGCAAGTGTTGGATTTTCAGCTGGGATGAGAATTCACTTCTCCTCCAAATGAAAGATGGGTTAGGAGATGATGATATTGAGGTGATTTATGTTGGTTGTTTAAAGGAAGAAATCCATCCAAATGAACAAGATGAGGTCTCGCAGATCCTTTTAGAGACCTTCAGGTGTGTGCCGACTTTTTTGCCGCCTGATCTTTTTAGCCGGTATTATCATGGGTTTTGTAAGCAGCAGTTGTGGCCTTTGTTTCATTATATGTTGCCTTTATCACCAGATCTTGGTGGTAGGTTTAACCGGTCTTTGTGGCAAGCCTATGTGTCGGTCAATAAAATTTTTGCTGATAGGATCATGGAGGTTATTAATCCAGAAGATGACTTTGTGTGGGTACATGATTATCATCTGATGGTGCTACCAACTTTCTTGAGGAAGAGGTTCAACAGAGTTAAACTGGGGTTTTTCCTTCACAGCCCATTCCCTTCATCAGAGATATATAAGACATTGCCTATTAGGGAGGAGCTTTTACGTGCCTTGTTAAATTCAGATTTAATTGGGTTTCATACCTTTGATTATGCAAGGCATTTTTTGTCTTGCTGTAGTCGAATGCTTGGTCTTACTTATGAATCCAAGAGAGGGTATATAGGCCTTGAGTATTATGGAAGAACTGTTAGTATCAAAATTCTCCCTGTGGGGATACACATGGGTCAGCTTCAGTCAGTTTTGAGCCTTCCGGAGACTGAAGCGAAAGTTGCAGAGCTCCTTAAGCAGTATTGTGGTCAAGGCAGGACAATGTTGCTTGGGGTAGATGATATGGACATATTTAAGGGTATCAGCTTGAAGCTGTTAGCAATGGAACAACTACTTTTGCTGCATCCTGAGTGCCAGGGGAAGGTAGTGTTGGTTCAGATAGCAAATCCTGCTAGAGGACGAGGGAAAGATGTGAAAGAAGTGCAGGAAGAGACATATTCAACTGTGAAGCGGATTAATGAAACTTTTGGGAAGCCTGGGTATGACCCTGTTGTATTGATCGATGAACCACTTAAATTTTATGAGAGAATCGCATATTATGTTGTTGCAGAGTGTTGCTTAGTAACAGCTGTAAGGGATGGAATGAATCTCATTCCATATGAATATATAATCAGTCGACAGGGTAATGAGAGGTTGGATAAGGTTTTGGGGTTGGAGCCATCTACACCAAAGAAAAGCATGCTGGTTGTTTCAGAATTCATTGGCTGCTCCCCATCTCTGAGTGGGGCAATTCGAGTAAATCCATGGAACATTGATGCAGTGGCAGATGCAATGGACTGCGCCCTTGCGATGGCAGAGGCAGAAAAACAGCTTAGGCATGAAAAGCATTATAGATATGTGAGTACCCATCATGTTGGATACTGGGCTCATAGTTTCCTTCAAGATTTGGAGAGGACATGTCGAGAACATGTCAGACGAAGATGCTGGGGTATTGGTTTTGGGTTAAGTTTTAGAGTTGTGGCTCTTGATCCGAACTTCAGGAAGCTCTCAATGGAGCACATAGTATCAGCTTACAAGAGGACTGCTACTAGGGCAATTCTTCTAGACTATGATGGTACTTTAATGCCTCAGGCTTCCATTGACAAGAGCCCATCATCTAAATCCATTGACATCCTAAATAGCTTGTGCAGAGATAAAAACAACATGGTTTTTATTGTCAGTGCCAAAAGCCGAAAGACACTCACTGAATGGTTTTCTCCTTGTGAAAAACTAGGAATTGCTGCTGAGCATGGCTACTTCTTGAGGTGAAATGACCCAGCTTTGATTCTAATTTCTATTTCTATTCTTACCATAAGATCGTGGTTTTGACCTGATAGTTATACTCTATTGTTTCAGGCTTAAGCGAGATGCGGAATGGGAAACATGTGTACCAGCAGTAGACTGTGCTTGGAAGCAGATTGCCGAACCTGTGATGAGGCAATACATGGAGACTACTGATGGGTCCAACATTGAAGATAAGGAAACTGCACTTGTCTGGTGTTATGAGGATGCAGATCCAGATTTTGGATCTTGCCAAGCTAAAGAGCTTCTTGATCATCTTGAAAGTGTGCTGGCCAATGAACCTGTTACAGTAAAGAGTGGGCAGAATGTTGTGGAAGTTAAGCCACAGGTTTGGATCATATGTTCCCTGATGAAGTTGTAGAGTACTTTTATTTTCTTGGCCACATTGAGCCATAGAAGCCTCTTTTTAAATTAACAACATGAAATGTTAGCTATGCAAACTGAGATGGTTAGCTATACTGAAAAGCCTGTAGCTTAGCGGCTTCCTGTTCCCCAATCTAACCACACTTTTGTTAGGGTTTTTGACAGAGTAGGGGTACCTCCTTTAGATGTTTGCTTCTGTCCTTGCTTTTATTCCTGACACAGTCTACGCATTGTCCCAGGATAGGCTGTTTATGGATGTTCCTTCTAGAGAGAAGGGAATTAACATCATAAAATTTTTCTTTAAAAAGTCAATGATCATATTTAGATCCTCATGAAGCCAAGGAAGGCCAAAACAAAATAGGGTTAGCGCTTTGAAAGAAATTGATTGTTAGGTTGTTAGCTTTCTAATTGATATAACTATGCAAGTTGCTGGTTATTGATACTATCTACTTGTTGCTCATTTTCCTAGTTTGCTTTTGGATATCAAATTGCACCTTTTACTTTTATTGAGAGCTTTAAACCAGTTAGCTTTTTGAATCTACCTCGTGTTTGTATAGCTCTCAAATTATCATGCTTCCAAAGGTGTGTTTCTTCATGTTTTTGGAAGCATTCTCTAATTTCTTTTGGCTATATGCAGGGTGTAAGCAAGGGTCTAGTAGCTAAGCGCCTACTTTCCACCATGCAAGAGAGGGGTATGTTGCCAGATTTTGTTCTGTGCATAGGAGATGACCGATCTGATGAAGACATGTTTGAGGTAATCACCATTTCAATAGCTGGCCCATCGATTGATCCCAGGGCAGAAGTGTTTGCATGTACTGTTGGTAAAAAGCCCAGTAAGGCTAAGTACTATCTGGACGACACGGTGGAAATTGTTAGGTTGATGCAAGGTCTGGCTTCTGTTTCCGATCAAATGCTTTCTGTGTAGCCTTAGCAAAGACAGACAAAGGTGCACCGTTCTTTGTGTTTGTAACTCTCAAAAAGATATGTAGGCTGGGCGGTAGACTTATATTTCCTTGCCTTGTTTTGAAATGTACATTATCCTAGTTTTACTAAGAGAACCTGTGCAAGCGGATACCTTTTTGTGTTTGTGCTTTCTAGTAAAGCTGTAAATATGTGCTTGTGCCATGAAATTTGAGCTTCCCAATCTCTCCCCCTCAGTCTTCATGTCAAACTAAAATTTAGCTTTTCTTTAAAGAGGATTTATGAGATTCAATGCATTGTTGGTTCCGGATTCTTGAAGAGTAAAGTTTCAGCTAAAGTTTCTAATCTGCTGTGGGTGCTATTTTTGGCATTGAAGTATGTTTCTGTTGGTATTCAAGTGGTTCCCCTAGTTATAGTTCTCAGTTGCTGTGGAATGTCAGCTTCGGTTTTAGTTCCAAGTGTTCTTTCCTTGTGTCATTTTCTCCCTTGGTGCAGTGCTTTCTACAAAGTGGACGTTTCACCTTGCCTGCTTCAACTCTTCTTTAGCTAAAGTCTTGCATTTCCATACGCAAAAAGTAAGAAAAAAGTTAGTTATATTTTCATTTTCCTGAGAATGGTTACTATCATTTGACAATGTCTAATTGCAGAAACGCGTTTGAATGGAATCATATTCAATTCTCCATATTTGAAAGTTACAAGGTGCAGTCGCTATTAATTTCTGTCAGCTTCCCTTGTGCCTTGTGGGGGGAGCTTTCCTTAAAAATGGACTTCAGAAAAACTCAGTTGTAGCATTTGGCTTCATATTTGGTGTCAAGCAACCCCAATTCTGTCCTTCTGCATTTGTTTGTATCATTCGTCTTATTTATTTGTCGTCAATGGTTGTTCCCATGCAAATACAAGTGTAATAAGTTGAACCAACTGCTATAAAATATGGTTATGGTCTCTGCCCAAATTAACTTCATGGGCAGAAGAGGGAGGGGCAAACTCAGACCAAAAGCTCTTATAAGACTTATTTGATTTTTAATTTGTTTTATAAAAGATTAAAAAAAATAAAGTTGAATAATTTCACCGCTTTGATATTTTCAGAAAAAAAAAAAAGATGCAAAGTACTTTTGGTAATTCTCTATTTATTGTTGATAAAAATTCTAGCAGTTCACTTTTGGTAGAAGATTTCCCCTTAAAGAGAACTTATATATAGTATACTAATTATTAATTCGAATGTTTATACCCCTAGTTTCATTTCTTCTTTTGCTTCTTTATTAATTCTTTTTAAATATTAGTACAGTTTAAATATAATAATTTAGTTTTTTTTTTATTAATTTAAGCTTGTAGAAGAGTCAATTACCTAGTGTAACATGATATTGAAACTCTCGAATTTGATCATTTTTTATCTAATGTTTTGTTGTTCATTGGACTATGAAATCAATGGGTTTCTACGTGTTATCTAAATGAAATCAATGGATTTTTTTTTTATCAGTTGAATGGGTCATCAAATATAACAAGAAATAATGAAATTAGTGACTAATTGATCTTATACTAACTTGCCACACTTGCTTTGTCTTCTCTTTCAGTCTTGCTATCTAATAATTAAGCGTGGAATTCTTCTTAAGAAAAACTTGATGAGTATACACATTTGATTTCCATGATAATTCCTTTGAGCAAGAATCTTTTGCTTGACCAAAAGTCAAGCCAAATACCAAGTCTCCCTTCTTACCACCTTGTGATTTGTGAACATGGCTTTTCCAACTGAAAATATCCAGTCCTGTGAACACATTTGACGGGGTTAGTCTTCACCCCCATCGATACCATTTTTCCAGTGAAGAAGCAAATATTCTTGGGTGGAACAATAATTGAACAACTGGGTCCATTTTGGTCCCCAATAATCATCTGTCTGAGATGATACCAACACGTTTTGTTGATGTGTTCTCCCTTAATAACACAATTGCTTGGTCCAAGGACTACGTGTGTCTACACAAAGGCCTCTGCTTTCACACTTTAACTTCAGAACCAAGTTTGGAATCCTCTTCTCTCTCTCTCTGTGGTGTGAAAACTACCAAAAATAGTCGGAGTTCCATCAGACTGTGAACACAAGCTTCAAGCATTGGATAGAGAGAGAGAGATTGGTGGGAAAAGAAACGGAGAAGGGTTTAAATGATTTCCTCCTCAAATCAAAAACCAAAGGCAACCCATTCAGCGGGTTTGCCTTTGGAATTGTGATATCTATTTCCGCGTGCATAAGGAAACTCCACCTTGTTGAAATCGATAATATCCTACTACTCTCTTACCTGTCTTAAAGTTGACTTCGTTTCTGACAAAGAATGCATTTCTCTCATTTCTTGTAAAAAAAAAAGAAGTAAAATTATAATTAATTTATGATTAATTATTCATAAATTGGAAGGTCAGTCAAATTTGTTTACTTGAATCAATTTAAGTCGAGCTCTTAATAACATTGATTAAGTTTGAACCCGACTTAGTTTCTAGACTATTATAATGTTAATAAATATTATATTTTTTAATTTTAATGAATTTAAATGAACAATTCAATCCTGAGTCTTGATTTTTTTAGATGTCAAATGAACTTGGCCCCATTCATGACACCTTATCTTATGAAATGACGGTCGAAGGCTAAGCATATTAGAACTTATAATATAAAATTTCATGTGATCCATAATGTTAACAAATGCAAAGAGTACGGCAAGGAATATGAAGATTTGCTAGGCATCCACCTGAAGATGATCATTAAGAAAAAAATTAAGAGTTATAACTAGAAGACAATTTTATAGCTATTTTATAGTTTATTATTATATATTAATAGATATCACCCAGTTATTTGGTTTGGATCGGTGGGCTCCCTTTCTTTGTCATCATTTGACCTTAGGGCAAGTAAAATACTTGGGAATTGAAGTATTCAATTCTTGCAAATAATATCTTACTAAGACTTCGTTTTGTTATGCAAAAGATATATGAAGACCTTGACCATTATTAGTTCAAAGAATTATCTACTTATATATGCTCAATTTCTTTTATAAAATTTGACTTTTAAGTAATTGATTTTCACAAATTTTTTTAACTATTTGTAAGTAGAAATTGAAATGGTCAATGAAAAATCATTTAAAACTCGATGGAAAATAAATCTGAAAACTTGAAAATTATTTTCAATTTTATAAGAGTAAAAATCAATTTTCAGATTAATCAACGAATAAAGTAGACTTTTTACCCTAACTAGACTTGTCTACGAGCTGGCTATTCCACTTAGATCAAGCTTTAAACGAGATTTTTAGGCCTAAGCCTGACTTGACCAGATTTAGAATTTTACTATATTAATAAATTGTTATTATTTCATTTTAATTTAAATATATATTTAAAAATGTTAAAATATTAATAATAATTTTTGCTATTTTGAGTATAATTATTAATATTTTAATATATAAATATTACTATTTATTATTAATAAAATTATTCATAATAAATATTTTTATTATTTTCATAATAATATTATTATTAATATTAGTATTTTTAATATTTTAATAATAAACATTTTTCAATATTTAATAATTTTAAAATATATTTTAATGCTTATATCAACGTTACTATTTGGATAGAAATGCAAATTTTTCAAAAATAGCCAAACAAAAAATTATAATATAAATATTTTTAACAAAAGCATTGAAAGAACAAAATGGAAATTAACAGTTTTAAAAATTGAAAACCCATTTCCACCAAAATCATAATTTAAGATCCAATATAAGTTCCTTTTGAGAATTGTGTATTTGCACATTAATTTGATATCAAAATGAGGAGTAAAAATCATTCCATGTCCTTAAACCTTGAATTATTTTTACTAGAAAAATGATATTTTCTTTCAAAAAAAAACAAATTCATTCACTTACAATTGGATAAGGTACGTATGAAGATTATTGGCACCAAGAATTACTCCTCAGTCAATCCAAGTAAGGGTATATATGTAAACTTGTCTTTTATCTTCCAAAAAAAAAAAGAAAGCTTTATTTGGGCCTTTTGTTTTCTATGATATGAAAGCCAGTTGGTGTGAAAGGATAGATAGACAAGCAAGCATTATTCCGTTATTACATATATATTACAATGGTAACACCGAGAGGAAGAGAAAAAGAAGCAGTCAAAGCTTGAGCTCGAAAACAAGAAATGGAACGAAGCCAAGCGAAACTTCCTAGACCTTTTTGATCAGAAATTGTACCATTTCGCTGCGTTTTCATGAAGACCCACCACAAATATACCCACTCCTGACATTCTCTACATAACCCCATAGTTTTCTTACGCCTTCCCTTCTCAGGGAGAGGAGGAAAGAGACAGAAAAGAGGAAGAGAGAGAAGAGATGAGCAGAAATGGAATAGTGGAGAAGGCTCTTAGCAGCCTGGGAAAGGGATTCGATTTAACATCGGATTTTCGACTCAAGTATTGCAAAGGCAAGGAAAGGCTCATTTTGCTCAACGAAACTGAGAGAAGAGAGATTGCCATACCTGGTTTTGGAGCTATCAAAGACGTTCCTGTTGATATCAAATGCGACAAAGGTGATCGTATTCGTTATCAGTCTGATATTCTTGATTTCAGTCAGGTAATATTTTATGTTACAAAACACTATATTTAATTTTTTAACTTTTATTTTTTTCATTCGAATTCCTGACAAAAACTTGAAAAAAAAAAAAAAAAACCAAACTGATTCGCAGATGGCGGAGTTTTTCAACCAAAAATGTTCTCTGCCTGGGAAAATTCCATCAGGGCAATTCAACTCAATGTTTGGTTTCCAAAGCAGTTCATGGGCAAAAGATGCAGCCAATACCAAATTCTTAGGCCTTGATGGATATTTCATCATATTGTTCGATCTTCATATTGATCGCTATCCGCTCCTTCTCTCTGATGAAGTCGTTAATGCAGTTCCTTCTGCGTGGGATCCTTGTGCCCTAGCAAGGTAATGCTTTTTTTTTTATTATATATACACACATATATATTCTTTCATCTTCTTTTTATGAACATCATGATTGTTTTTAAATAAAAAATAACTGAAATAATACAAGATCGTCATCATATAATTAAAAAGAAATACATATTAAATTCAAGTTACAGTGTTATAAATTCTATATTCGTAAGAGATGAGATGAATTATAAAAGTTTTTTTCAACATAAGTTTAGATCGAAATGTGAATATTATAGCAGAAATGAAAAATAAAATTTCAGGCTATTAAACATCTTTAAGAAAGAATTCATGGAATTAATTAATAAATACAGGAATCATTATTGCTAAATGACATTATAGAGGATGCCGTTTCAATTTTTTTATTTTTTGGGGGTGAGGGCTGTGGTGAAGATACCGTTTCACATTTGAATTCCTTGGTTGGACTTTGCCTTTAATAGTCTAATATTAATAGCCACATCCATATTTGGGTTGAGAGAGTAACCATGGAAATGGGATGTTGACTTTAAGATAATTATAGTCACATTTACAATAATAAATGTGCACGTTAAGTTCATATAGTATAAATAGAATTTAGGATAGCTATGTAAACTTAGTCAACCAATCACTAATTCTAAATTTGAAGATTTCAAACTTAACCATTCAAAGCAATTGTACTACACCTCTTCAATTTCAATTGTTAAAGTATTTTTCAATTTTGAATTGTTAAACATATACATTCATCAGTAAATCAAATATTTTGTATCCTTTTTTTAAAATTGTTATAGCTGTTTGAAGCTTTTTTTTAAAAATATTTTCTATCTTTTTTTTTAATTTTAAAATAAATTACAAAATACAAAAAAGAACTGGTTGTTTTTATGATCTATATAATGTTTGTAGGAAGAGTAGAAAGGTGTAAAAATTTTCAATTGTTAATCTATTTTTATTTATTGAAGCTTCATTCTTATCTACTTTTTAGGTTATAGGATTTTTTTTTCTGTAAAGTACAAAGTGAATAGTATTAAAGTTAAAATCATTTTATTTTTGTTGAGTAAAGATCATAATGTCAATGTGAATCTGAAGTTTTGTTTGAGTATGATTATAGATTTAACTCGACATTTTT